ACCTAAAGTTGATTTACATTTTCAGTCTGTTCTGTTATTGTCAACAGAGAGTACAACAGTAAGTAACTGTCAGGGAGTAAATGAACTTACTGCTACTGAAGATACTTAGGCAGAAATTTGAGTGAACTTATCAAAGCAGATCCTTTGCCAATAGGAGGTTGAACTATTTCATCTGTGGTCTCTTACGACCCTGTTGATGTTGGTCTTAAATGTCTATAACTTTTTTCTGCATAGTAAATAGTTTCCACTATGATGGAAGCCTATCATATAGATCTTTATTTTCTAATTTATCATTTTCCCTGTATGATACGCACTGTATTCAGTAGCGGTAAGTTAGGACTAGGTGATACTATTTAAATAAGACACAGCCTACCTACCATTAAGGGAATAGACCAGTGGTTCTCAACCTGCCTAATGCCGCGACCCTTTAATGCAGTTCCTCATGTTGTGGTGACCCCCTCCCCCCAACCATAAAATTATTTTCGTTGCTACTTCATCACTAATTTTGCTTCTGTTACAAATCAGGCGACCCCTGTGAAAGGGTTGACCCCAAAGGGATCACGACCCACAGGTTGAGAACAGCTGAAATAGGCTTGTTAAAGATTTATGGGTGTAATGTTAGACGTAAACAGCAGAAGGTGTCCGTGGGAATCACATGACTAGAAAACGGCATTTCAGAACAAAAATACTCCCGAATTAAGTCTTTAATAGAGTCTACTGCCTTAACAAGAGGCTGATTGAGAAAGGGGTTTTTTTGTTTGTATTTCTTTCTAGGCAGAGCAGGTGGAATGTACAGAGGCTCTGAAAACATATCTTACTTGGAGAACTGTAAATATGTAGTCTTTGATGGGAAATTAGTATGTAAATGGGCTACTGGTGAGAGAAGCTGCATGAAAATGGACGATGTTTGCCATGTTAATCATGAAGGTGATGTAAAGTCAATGAAGGTTTTAAGCAGAATGGTTGCATTGTCAGATTTGTGATTTTGAAGGTCCACTGTGGTAGGAGTCAAGTGAACAGACTAGAATGGAGACCAAGTAATAGACTTTATGGTAATTTAAGCAAAACTGTCTAAGGATAATGAGACTGGTATAATGCAATTGGGAACTGAATTCAAAAGTAAGAGATAAAACAAAAAAGTAGGAGATAAAAATCCAGTAAAGTTACTGGCCACAAGAAAGAGTAACTGTGAGAATGACATCAATTGGGTAGGTTGGGTAGTCATCTTTGCTAAGTGAAAGATACTGGAAAATGAAAAATCAAATAGGCTTTTTGCTTCCTGGTCTTAGGGTGCCAATTTGAACAAGGATATTTATTGTCGTGGTCTGTAACAGAAATATCACAACCAGATGGCTTTAACAAACAGTTCAAGAAACTAGCAGTTTGAATCCAGGGCACTGGCTTCTCTGTCAGATCTGGAAGAAGGTTCTTGTCTTTTTTGAATGTCTACTTCTGGGCCATCTTCATGTGGTATGGCATCTTTTTTCTTTCAACTCTGCTTCTCTGACTTGGATGTTTAATCTCTTTTATAGCTCAAAAGTCATTGATTTTAAAATGCACCCTACACTCATCTGACCTCATTAACATAACAAAGACACCCTATTCCCAAATGGCATTATAACCACAAGCAGCTCAGAGCTCACTGACATCAAGTCCATGCCAATTTAGAGCCACTATAGGATAGAACTGCCCTGTGATTTTCATAGACTGTAGCTCTTTACAGGAGTAGAAAGCCCCATCTTTCTCCTGAGGAGTGGCTGGTGACTTCGAACTGCTAACCTTGCAATTTAGCAACCAAGCTCATAACCACTACTTTCCAACCACAGGCATAGAGGTTAGGAATTATAAAACATATTTGGGAGGGCCAGAAACAGTTCAGTCCATAACAGATACAGAAGCTTTTATTCTCTTATATTTGCATTCATGTTTTGTTTTGTTTATGTGATGTGGAAGGTAATGTGATAATACAGTTGTATTATCAAAGAAGATTTATGGAAGTCTTAGATTAAAATAAACTCTCATTTAGGGTTTAGTCAGGGGTTTATTCTTTCACCATACTTATTCAATCTGAGCAGATTAAATGCAGAGCAAATAATCAGAGAAGCTGGATTACATGAAGAAGAATGCAGCATCAGTATTGAGGAAGGCGTATTAGCAACCTTTGATATACAGATGACACAATTTTGCTTGCTGAAAATGAGAAAGATTTGAAGCACATGTTTTTGAAGATCATGGATTGCAATCTTCAATATGAATTACAGTGCAATGTGAAGAAATCTAAAATTCTCACGACTGGACCAATAGGTAAGATGATAAATGGAGAAGAGATTGAATATGTCAAAGATTTTGTCTCCCTTTGATCCATAATCAATGCTCATTGAAACAGCAGTCAAGAGATCAAATAACACATTGTATTGGGTAAATCTGCACAAGACCTCCTTCAAGTGTTGAAAAGCAAGGATGTTACTTTGGAGACTAAGGTATGGCTGACCCAAGCCTTGGTATTCTCAATCACCTCATATGCATGTGAAAAGTGGACATTGAATAAAGAAGCCAAAGAAGAATCAATGCATAGAAGAAGATTAAATGTACCATGGACTACCAAAAGAAAAAACAAATCTGTTTTGGAAGAAGTATAGCCAGAATACTCCTTAGAGGTAAGGATGGCAAGACTTCATTTCATGCAGTTTTGGACATGTTATCATGAGGGACCAGTCCCTGGAAAAAGACACCCAGCATGCTTGGTAAAACCCTCGACAAGTACAAGACCCTGCACAAGATAGATTTCCACAGTGGTTGCAACAATGGGCTCAAACATAGGAACACTTGTGAGGATGGTCCAGAACTGGATTGTGTGATTCTATTGTACCAAAGGTCACTGTGAGTAAGAGCCCACTCAATGGCAGCAACCTGGCAGCAACAGGAGGCATGAATGATCTGCATGGAGCTGGAGGAATATACTACCGTCTTTGTGCAATCCTTTGATTTAATATCTACTTCATAACTCTCTGAATTAAGCTTGAATTGAGAAATAATAAATTCATTTTAGAGAATCCAGACATTTTTACACTGCCATTCCTCTGTCAGAAATTAAACATGAAAAAAAAGCTGTGTGGTAAGATTGGCTTGTCTGTGTAAATTAACTAATTTGATAATAGTTATGGCATTATGCATTTTAAAATACAAAGTGCTTTCCCTCAGAGTGCACACTTTGATTTTCAAGTCTTTCACTGGTGTCATGTAGGAAATAATGTCCCATCCCTTGCTATTTAACACTCTGGCAGAATGTTTCCTTTTATAGCGTTGTCACATCATTTTCTCCAGTTAAGATCTCTTTTAGGATGGTTGAGGTGTTTAAATCTTTCAGGGAAAGAATGAAAGATGAGCCATGCTCCTTTACATAGAACTGGCTGTGTTGGTTTCAGATTTTGAGATTTTACTATTTAAAGGGTACTTATTCCGGTATGTTTTGCCACTGGTTCTTGAATGTTTTGTTGTTTCTTTATTAGGTCTTACTTTCTTATAGCTTTGTATTCTACTGCACATTTGAATGCACTAGAAAATGCCTCTTCCAGTAGCAAAACAAAGAACTGGCTATAGTGTAGCATTTCTCTTTACAGATGAGTTTACACTTTGATGAATTTACACTTTGACATTGAAAATTATTAGACTAAGATAATTATAAATATGTAAGTACATTCTCCTGTTCTACTTCAAGCAAGAAATTTCTTCTTTGCACTAATTTAATCTTAATGGAACTTTAAAAATTTTAAGTATGATTAAATGAAATTTTCTAAAGAAAATGAAAACAAGTCCACAAGAGCCCCAATATGATCTTGAGTATATCCCACTTGAATTTCAACGTGTTGGACATGTCGTCAGGAGAGACCAGTCCCTGGAAAAAGGACATCACTCTTGATAAAAGTAGAGGAGCAACAAAAAAGAAGGCCCTTGACAAGATGGATTGGCACAGTGGGCTCAAAAGGAAGAACCATTGTGAGGATGGCGCAGGACCTGGCGGGGTTTCATTCTATCGTAATTAAGGGCCCTATGAGTCAGAATTGACTCAATGGCACCTAACAACAACAACAAAGGAAACTTTATTCTTCTTTGTAGAACATTGAATAAAAAGGTGTAGTACATCCTTACTGTAAATCTTTAAAAAATAAAATCTTCAGATCTTGGTATTTCAGAATGATTTTCTTCCTGTTTAGTATAAAAGTTTTGGAATGCTTTCAAAAGATGCTAGCAGTCTATAATTTGGTCTATGTGTACATATTTCCCTTTTGAGGAGTTGGAAAGGTTTTGAGATATAGATTAGTGTGAATTTTCTTTGTATTACTACAAATAATTACTATTAAAATGCTTGAATATTCTTAGAACCCAAAAACAAAAGAAAACTTAGTTATGATTCATACTGACTCTATAGGGCAGAGAAGAACTCCATAGATTACCAAGGTCGTAAATCTTGACAGGTACAGAAAACTTCATTTTTCTTCCTTGGTGTACAATTGGTACATTTGAACTGCGTACCATGTGGTTAGCAGCAGCCTAACACTTAAGCCACTATACCACTAGAGCTCTTCATTGTTAGAATAACATGTCCTATCATCCAGCTAGAGGCTATTGTTGTCTTCAAGGACTAGGGTTATAATTGTCTTCTCAAAAACTCAGTTGTTTACTTTAACTTAGTGTTATTCTAAGTGATGTGGTTAGCAGCAGCCTAACATGTAAGCCACTCACTACTAGAGCTCTTCACTATTAGAATACCATGCCCTATCATCTAGCTAGAGGTATTGTTGTCTTCAAGGACTAGTGTTATAATTGTCTTCTCAAAAACTCAATTATTTACTTTAACTTAGTGTTATTCTAAGTGAAAGTGTACTAATTTGTTACTTTCCCCTAAACCAAAAACTTAACTTTTTATTAATATAGTAATCCGAAGTTGTTATGTGAGAAAGTAAGAAGCTTTCTTTCATTTTTCTTTTTTCTGTTTGCAGGTTGTAATAATTAAAATGAATAAGCTACGGCAAAGTTTTAGAAGAAAGAAAGATGTTTATGTTCCAGAAGCCAGTCGCCCACATCAGTGGCAGACAGATGAAGAAGGAGTTCGTACTGGAAAATGTAGCTTCCCAGTTAAGGTAAAAGCTGTTATTTCTGTGAATACTTAAGTGGAAGACTGACAGTAGTAATATGTGAAATCCTACTAGTTAAGCCAGTTTAAAGAGAACCCTACAAAAACTGCCCTCTCATATTCTGCTTCAGTGATAGAAATGAATTAAAAGAAAACTAGATTATAATTTGTTACCTTGTTTATGTTCAAATAATAATTTCTAGCATATATTCAGGGATCAGTACAACTAAGATCATTGAGGATGAGAATTGTTGTATACTGAGTCATTTCTAGCTCATGGCAACCCCATGTGACAGAGTACAACTGTCCCGTAGGGTTTTCTTGACTATCATAGGTAAAGCAGAAGATCAGCAGATCTTTCTCCCACAGAACTGCTGGATGGGTTCAAACCACCAACTTTTTGGTTAGCAGCCAGAGGCAACCTAACTGTTGTTTCACCAGGCCACCCTGGTGAATACTAATCCAGAAATACTTAACAATCCTGAGTTAATCATTATTTTCAGTGGAATATACTTCCTAATTGACAGAGCAAGAGAGTGGGAGTCTACTTTTAAATCTTAGAATTCTTAATCATGAAGAAATCTGATGCCTTCATTTGTCAAACCAGGAAATAGAAACTCCAAGAGGGTAAGAAACATAATGAAGATCTAGACCAGAGAATGATGCCGCCACAGGTGCTTTTTCTTAGAACTATTTGAGTCTCAAAAAGAAGGTCCTTTAGTAGAAAGAAAATGTTTTGAGAAGGATGATGACAAGTGTACAGATGTGCTTGACACAAAGGATGAATGTATGGATTGTGATAAGAGTTGTACGAGCCCCTGATAGGGATTTTTTAACATGAGGGTCCCTTTGAGTGGGTGACAGGAGGTAGAGGATGGGGACACTTCAACAGAAATTTATTCTTTCACAGTTTTGGAGGTTATAAGTTTAAAAGCAAAGTGTTGGCAGGCCTACATTCTTTTTTTTTTTTAGGCCTACATTTTTACTGAAAGCTTTAGAAAAGAATCTTTTCTTGCCCCTTCCAGGCTTCTGGTGGTTGTTGGCATTTGTTGACTTGTGGCCACATTACTCTATAAATAGGAAGAATAATTTTTTTTAATGATGTGGAAGAAATGTTATACTGTTAGTGAAGGGGAAAAAAAGCAAATTATCATTATGTAAACACAGTATGAGATACATTAAGTGTGGGGAGAAAAAGTATAGAAGGAACTAGTTCAAAACATTAGTATCAAGTTTCAGAAATGAAAAGGTCTTCCATATGAAATGAAAAGGGATACATAGTATATACAGGTTAAGTCATGTATTAAAATATGTACATAATTTAAGTATGTATGGTTTTTGTATGTCAGTTATACATCAGGGAAATTATTAAAAATAAATTTATCTCAGGAAGGAGAAACAATATCAAATGGAATGCAAGGGTGAGGACTTAGTATATGTGTATCTTGGCTTGTTTACTTTTTACAGTATTATTGAGGTATAATTTATTACCTACCATGAAGTTCACCCATTTAAAGTGTATGATTCAAGGATTGCTTGGTTTTATGTTGTATTTTGTAAGACCAGAAAGACTTGAGTATTTAAATGTCTTTTTATAAAGGAGCTTGTAGATGGTGGGTTAATTTTATCCTAGAGAAAGGATGCTACTTCTATATTAATAGGAGTAAAGGGGGGAAATAATGCAAAGCAGATTCACCTAAGTGTGTACAATTGGCTATTTAAAGTTAATGGAGTTCTGTCCTAAAGACTTTGTTTTTTTCCCCAAGGAAATTAGAAGGTAAGGAGTCTGAGAAAGGGAGGGAGTTGTGGGACTGGATTTTGAGGATAATAGATTAACCATAGGAGAGATGCTTACAGAAATGTAATTACTGATTACTAATTAAGTGAAATGGCAGCAGGTTTCATTCCTGATGTGGATGTGTAAAGATACTTTTGCCTATGTAAATATAATAATTTCCTATCAATAAAGTAAAACTTGTAACTTGACTAGTATAACAAAGGAGAAATTTTTTTTGTTAAAAATGAAATATCACCTATACACGTTGTTGTTAGGTGCCATCTAGTCTGTTCTGACTCATAGTAACCCTGTATACAAGAGAAAGAAACACTGCTTGGCCCTGCACTGTGCCATCCTCACAATTATTCTTATGTTTGTGCCCATTTTTGCCACCACTGTGTCAATCCATGTAGTCAAGAGCCTTTTGCTGTCCCTCTACTTTACCAAGCATGATGTCCTTCTCCAGCGATTGGTCTCTACTGATAACATGTCCAAAGTATGTGAGACTTCCCATCCTAGCTTCTAAGGAGCATTCTGTTTGTACTTCTAAGACAGATTTGTTTGTTCTTTTAGCAGTCCATGGTACTTTCAGTACTCTTCTCTAGCACCATAATTCAAATGCACCAATTGTTCTTTAGTCTTCTTTATTCAGTGTCCAACTTTCATATGCATATGAGGCAGTTGAAAATACCGTGGCTTGGACCCTGGAGCACCTTAGTCCTCAGTAACATCCTTGCTTTTCAACACTTTAAGGAGGTCTTATGCAGCAGATTTACCCAATGTAGTGCGTTTTTTAATCTCTTGACTGCTGCTTACATGATAATCTAAAAAAATGTGAGGTCACTCACACGCTTATATTATCAGTGAATCTGCCAAAATATTTCCATGCCACCCCTCAAAATTAAGTTATATTTTTATATATATATGTATATATATGTATATATGTATGTATATGAAGTGAAATGTAGAACTCTTAAGAATTCAACCTAGTTCAGACAGGCTATTTATCCTAGACATTTGTAAAATATCTAAATTAGTGAAAGGCACGGGTTTCATCCTTTTTAAATTAGACAAGCACATAGTTTACTGTACAAGGAATGACAAATTACTGCAGGGCCAGCCCCAAGTCCAACCCTGCCCCCTACCCCTAGAAGAATTCACTTCAGAGGACAGCACTGAAGCTATAGCTCAGGGAGAGGGGCATGTCTGATCAGAGCACACAGGAGCAAACAAAGAGGGAAGGAGTGATAGTGGAACACATCCTGGCCCACCAAGCCCTGAGGACAATATTCCTGCTCAGAGGAGCCAGTGCACAGAGAGGACCATAGGGCCAGCCCCACCACGAGACACGATGTCCCTTACTGACCCTAGTGCTACAAGGGACAATGCTGGAGATACAGTGCGGGAACTGTGCCCAATCTGACCCCACCACACTGGGGCGAGTGCTAAGGGCGTGCAACAGAGCAACAAGGTGAGCAAAGCAATGAAGTCCCCGGGAAATACCAAAAATAAACTTTGGGGCCAGGGCATGGCACCCCATCAGACTGGACTGGAAAATACTCCTAAAGGTCAATAAACAGACTTGGAACTACTTATAGACTTTTCTTTTTGTCATTGGGTTTTTGTTGTTGTTTTACTTTTTTTGTTGTTTTGTTTTGCTCTGTCTTGTTTTTGTGCTTATTATTGTCTCTGCCTGTCTATCTAGATAAGATAGGCAGGATAAACAATTCAGAGGAGAAAATAATGGGACCAACAGTTCTGGGGGACACAGGAAAGGGGGAGGCAGGGTGGGGAAAGGAAGTGGGTGTTAACAAATCCAGGGTCAAGGGAACAACAAGTGATCTAAAATTGATGGCAAGGAGGGCATAGGATGCCTGGTAGGTCTTGATCATGGGCAATGTAACCGAGAGGAATTACTGAAACCCGAATGAAGGCCAAACATGATAGTGGGATGAGGAAAGTAAAAGGAAATAGAGGAAGGAACTAAGGGAGAAATGGGCATTTATAGAGGTCTAAATACAGGCAGGTACATGTGTAAATATATTTATAACAATAGGGAAATAGATTTTTGTACATATACTTATATGTATTAAGGTAGCAGACAGACATTGGGCCTCTACTTCAGTACTCCCTCAATGCAAGAACACTTTGTTCTAAGAACCTGGCATTTGTGATGCTCAGCTTCCCGATATGTCGTTGAAGACAAAATGGGTGTATAAGCAAATGTGGTGAAGAAAGCTGATGGTACCCAGCTATCAAAAGATATAGCATCTGGGGTCTTAAAGGCTTGAAGAGAAACAAGCAGCCATCTAGCTGAAAAGCAACAAAGTTCACATAAAAGAAGCACACCAGCCTGTGTGATCATGAGGTGTCGATGGGATCAGGTATCAGATATCAAAGACCCAGAACAAAAAATTATATCAATATGAATGAGGGGGAGTGTGAAGTGGAGACTCAAAACCCATCTGTAAACAATTGGACATCCCTTTATAGAAGGGTCACAAGGAAGAGACAGGTCAGTCAAGGTGCAGGATAGCACCGAGGAAACATAGAGCTTTCCTGTAGTTCTTTAATGCTTCCTCTCCCCTTGACTATCATGACCTGAGTTCTGCCTTTCAAATCCAGCTAGACCAGAGCATGTCATGTACACTGGTATAGGTAAGAGCTCTCGACACATGGAATCCAAGAGAGATAAACCCATCAAGAACAGTAATGAGAATAGTGATACCAGGAGGGTAGTGGGGAGAAAGAGGGAACTGATCCCAATGATAGATCTGTAACCCCCTGAAGGGGATGAACAACAGAAATGTGGGTGAAGGGAGAAAGCAGACAGTATAAGATATTAAAACAATAATTTATAATTCATCAAAGGATCACGAGGGTGGGAGGGAGGGAGAAAAAGAGCTGATATCAAGGGCTCAAGTAGAAAGAAAATCTTTTGAAAATGATGCTGGCAACGTATGTACAAATGTGCTTGACACAATGGATGTGTAGATTGTCGTAAGAGCCCCCAATAAAATGGTTTGTCTTAAAAAAGAAAAAGTTAAAAGTACGAGTGGCTACATAAAAGGGAAAAAAAAAAACATTCTTTTTTGACTTGAATTCAACCAAACACTAATTTAAATGTAATCATGAACTTTGGTGCTCAAAAATACATTTTTCTAGAATTTGAGTTTATTTGCTTATCAGTACATTGACAGGTTCAGGTCATATTCAGAAGAGGACAGGGA